AAAGATGTTGGCTCCAAATGGCAGAGGAATGATTGTTTCCACTTAAAGTGATTGATATGTCTACACACACTTGAGAGATAGAATTTCATTACCTATTCTTTCTGCGGGGACTGACTGACTACCGTTTCAAAGGAAAGAGTGAGCACATTCGTATAACAGAGTACCATTTTCTTCCATGAAATGGAGGGGGAAGAAAAGGCGGATACATACAGGGAGAAATTGTGCTAAATAAACAGAACAAAGATCTGGAAAGAGCGAAGAAACTACCACCGCAGAAGAATGTTCAATCCGCACAGTAATTAGGCTTTTACTTTTCTGTTCAATGACAGTAAAATATTTCTATTGGTTCACTCACAGCAGTATTTATTTTCAAATTACCTGTAATGATTAAGCAGAGGGGGAAAAAAAAGGATTACAAAAGGCAACCTAACAGAATTCAATTTATTCCATAATAATACTTAAGAATTAATGCTTGTGCTTTATGCAGCACTTGAAGACTTGGAACCTCAAGTTACCCAATATCTTACAGATGATTTTAGAAGTGAAAATGAAGAAACCCAATCTCTAATTTGGGGTCACACATAAGGGAAAACAATTTAATGAGCTCTTACAACTGTAATGTTCTTTTATAAAATAAGAAATCCTTCTGCAACCTAAAAATCTGTTTCCTCTCAAATATTTTTCTCTAATGCTGTTTGGTTACCTCCTAAAGCCATTATTTCCAGCAGAGTCACAGAAATCCTCAGCTGTGTAGGCGGTCCCAGTAAATTTAGCAGCCAAGCCACATTTTGACATGTTAAGAATAGGCGTCCATAAATCTTCTCCAGCTTCTCCTGAGAAGATTAAATCTTTCTTTTCAAGAATTTGCTAAATTTCAGGAAATGCTGTAATGTAACAAATGGCCTGTAGACAAGGCTGAAGAAAGAGTAGAAGATAATGGAATCCCTTTGGTCAAGAACTGAAGCAGAAGCTGAGGAAAACTTCTGAAAGTTCTACTTGAGCTACTAGGGAAGAGCGAGGGGCTGGGGCAAATGAAATCCATCTGTGTGCAATAGCACAGGAGCAGTGGCACAATGAAACCTCCAAGGAAGCTGCTCAGTCGTAGAAAGGTTTCTGTTTCAGGACCCATCTCTTGAGAATAGAGATGGCCCGTTATAAGCTTTCAATTATAGAGACCTTTAGGTAGTCCAAGTTTCACTGTTCTTTCTCACACAGAATCAGGGAGGGGGATGCGAAACCATTTCCTTTGTCTCCCAAGTCCACTTCCGAAGTATTTGGACAGACAGACAATTCTGGTTTCAAAAGTTAATCTTCATCTCTCTTATTAGCTCTTGATCCCCTGCCCTGTATCTTACTTTTCCTAAAATAGGTAGAATTGCCTTTGTAATGCACAGAAACTTAACCTCTATTCTATCTGATTGGATAGGTAGAGAAGATAAAGTCTGGTAAAGAGTGGGGACATCCCAGCAGGTACATACTGGCCCTATCTACCATGTGAAATCATCTCTGCCAGACAGATCCATGCATTAAACACATATATCTAGACATAGCTCCCTATCCACTGAAAGATCCCCAAACCACATGGTTATCCCTCTCCTGTACCTTTGAGAGTTTCTATGTTCTGACTACCTTAAAAGGTAGTCTTGCTATTTTAGATCATTCTATTACCAGGATGTCTATTTAACTGCAATCTATTGGTGCTACTCTTTGCTAAAAGTCCCCCAAAGTGTGGTTATATCGTGACCCTCAATATCTGCAGTTTCAAGATTAATTTTTCAGGATATCACTTTGGACAATAAATGCTTTTTCGCCTCTCCAGGAACTTCCAACACCATATGCCAAGCCTGACTCATAAAAAAAAGGACCTGTAACCTGAAGAATTAGTCTTTGAGAAAATATATTTTCACCTAAGGAAAAATATATATCTCAGTTCTACTAGTCCTTCAGCTCCTTATTTATTTGTACATCCCTGGAGCACCTAATACGTGTTTAATACATATGCATTGAATAAATAGCTGAATAACCGAGTTAGTCAATGAATAAATATTTACTTGTATCTGGCTACCAACTAAATCTCATCCAGAAATGCTTAGAGAAAAAAAGTCTAGACATTATCTCACTGAACCCTGCCATTTATTATAATCTTGGGTAGAGAGGCATGGAAAAGGCATCCAAGTTCCAGATCCAATTAGTGGCAGGGCAGAATATCGAAGTGAGATGTTCTGACTTTAAATCCAGGACCTTTGCCATTATAATACCCAGGCAATTCATGGTAAGTTCTTAAAGTGTGGCGTTGTCCAGATATATGTGTTTTTAAATAGAAAACACTTGTAGAGCGAAAAGTAGGTTAGATCAAAGCGAAGCTGTTAGAGCACAAAAGAGGCAACCCTTGAGCCTGAGGTTTGGGCCAGAGACTACCTAACTACCATCTTAGCCTTGTAAATGGTCAGGATGAGATGATCTCTTTGTACAGAAGGAGAGAGGTCTTCACCACCCTCCATCCTGCCCATAAGCTTCACCGTTCAGGCCCAGACTGATTTGGGGGAGAACTTCCTAGGGGTGGCTAGGAAAACATCAACCACTTATTTATGGACAAGTTTGACCAAGCCGTAGAACTTTAGAGCAACTTTCAGAGGAGGAGAATGACCTTCTTACAGCACTTGCCTCAGATTTTTTACCTCACTCAGAGATGACCAGCTACTGGTTTCTAAGTTGTAAGAACGAATGCATGGAGACCAGAGAGCCAACCCCGTGGCAGCCTTTGAAGGGCTCTGGCTCACCCTCACAGTGGGGCAGTATCTCATGTTCTGTACCTGCCCCACCTCCCCTCAATTAAAACGTCTTCTCTGGGCCCATTACAGGTAAGCAGCTGAAGACTCTTTAATTTAGGTTATATGCAGCTGACTCACAATTCTCTATTTCAGGACTGGACCTCATTCTTATGCTGTAGCCCCGTGTGTAATATATGCTAAGAGACATCTCAAGCTCAATCAGTCTAAAATGGAATACTTTTTATATCCTGCTCCCAAGCCAGAAGTCTGGGCTTCACCCTAGACACCTCCTTCGATGTCATCAACCATAGTCAGTTTGTTACTAAGTCTCACCGATTTATTCCATCTCTGTAGTATTTCTCCAATTTTGTCATCATCTCCCTACCTTGTCTTGATCGCCTGCTGTTTGTTCTGGTGCAACGTCTTTCTAGCCAGCCTCCCTATGTCCAGTCTAGCCTCCCTCCGACCCACCTTCCACACTGCAGTAAAACCTTTCTAAGGTGTAAGTCTGATCCAGGCACTGTCTGGCCTCCATGATGCTCTACCATTTTGGCAGGGCCGTTTGGCCCTTTCATGCCCTTCCAACCAGGCAGGAGCTTTCATCATCCAACTCTTTGCAGGGCCTTCCATAAGTGACCTTCTGGAACCATCGTGGACCATTCCCTCTGGAACAAACTACATCATGTCCCACTCCTCAGGACTTACCTACTCTACACTGTTTCATGTCTGTCTTTCTATATATAGACTTCCCATTGCCTGGAATGACCACCTAAACTCTGCCTTTGTCTCCCCTTGCCTTAAGTAACACTTTCTCTGTTTTTCCTGATTCCTCTAGCAGTTTTCTCCTCTACTACGCCTGGCTATTTCTTAGTTGCAATGCTTATTATGCTACACTGCAATTCTTGCTATTGGTTTCAATTCTTTCTTTTTTCCCAAAGACTAGCACAATGCCTCCTATTTGAATAATCATTTACATAATAATGGGTGGTTTAAGATTAACTTGTTACCATCCCAAACAATATGCATTGAGCTGCAAGGACTTCCTGAAATAAGGCTCTCCGCTGAAAGCTTGGAGTTGTCACCATGGTAAGGCAAAGAGGAAATATTTTGAGCCTGGCAGTAGTTTGGGCACTACACAAGTTCTTATAGATCAGAGATTGTCCAAGAAACCCATTTCTCATATCCCCCTTACCTAGAAATCCTATACCAGAGGCCAGGATTCATGACCAATACATGCATTTGGTCAACGAGGGCCAAGTCCCTGCCGTGGGTCTGCTGCTTTGCTTTGAAGCTGGTGGTACTGTGTCCCTTCCCTGCAAGGCCACGCATCATGTGGAGCAGCAGGCCCACTCATCAGCTCCATTCCATGCATGGTTTAACTGCAAGGTATGTTGCCTGAGATTAACCAGGATCAGACACAGAACAAATGGAATGTCACCTACGGGCTGGCAAACCTGCAGAGGAGTCAGGCCATCAGCTAAACTTGAGTTCAGAATCCTCAAAAAGCGGACAGATTTGGTTTCAGGAATTGGTTTCAATGGCAGGCCTTTTGCATTTGACTATGAAGGGGTTTCCTCAGGGTATGGGTACTGGGATGAGTAAGACAAAATGCTCTTCCGAAAAGAGATCTGGTGCAAACCAGCTCTAGCTCTGGAAATTTTCTCTGCCCAATTATTGACCTGTTCCCCTCTTCCTTTTAAACTACCCAGGATGGATTAGTTGAATTTTTTTCCACTTTGAATGAATTTGCATGAGCAGTGTGGAGAAATGATTTTCATCAATTATTTAAGAGAGGAAAAAAATGTTTCTGTCCTCTGACCCTTTTTGGAATTAATCATGCTGTGCTGGTCTGAGATCACCAAGTCTACTAACACCAACAGGCAACATGAGATTCAGCCATCTGATCCGTGATGAGGAAGGGTTATTTTGAATCCTAAACCAACCTTTTTATCTTCACCAAACTCCAGGAGGTTAGAAATCATATCTGTTTAACTGCTTTATTTATAGTAACCACAACGCTATGGGCAAATGAAACATTAAAAATTCATTTTGGAGATTATATCTTGTTTTCATCTTAGAGAACAAGAGCAAAAAAATATATATATCTTTTTCTAAAATACCTAACTTACTACTGGCTTAATAAGATCCACTATTTTTACACCAGCTCTAAATTAAGAAAAATGACAAGTCAAATTACAGTTGCCTACGCTGCCCATGAAGTGTGCTGTAATGCCTCCAGAAAGCCTGTGATCTTACCTGCCAATATGGAGAAAATGATATGAGTATGAATCTCAAGTCTGAATAGTCTAGTTGCTTGGATATTCTTTGTTCTTATATTCACCTTGGAAAACGGGAGCCTGATTAAAAAAAAAAAAAAAGACATTCCTCAAAGAATTTTCATCAGGCCTGCAATTTAGAAAATATTTTCAAGGCAATTGTCAGTACCACTGTTGATACGAGAAACGATTCTAAACCCATTCTCGGCCCATGCAGTGAAAGTGTGTCACCACCATTTGAGCCTGATCTGGAAGGATCATTTTAAATCGGATCCATTCTTTGTCATTGAAACAGTTGTACGAAGCTCTCTTTCTTTCTCCTCATCTGCTAAATGAGATCATCTTCACCCACTTAAGACATCTTGATGAAGTGTATGGCTTTTAAGGAAATTTAAATATAGGAAATATATTTTTAAGAACACTCTGAGAATGATTTTATGTTTTCTACCTAAAGATGTAAAATGATATTTAATTTTAGATTTGCATTTCCTCCAAAAAGTATTCATTTCCCAAAATAATATTTGCTGCCTAGAGGGGTGAGGTTATGGATGATTTAGCCCCTTTGCATTCTAAACTCTGTGATACTTTGTTGTTTTTAGAATTAAAAATGAAAAGCAGCAGAGTATCTATTCAACACATATGTATTGGACCTCTTTTCTAAGGCAGGCTCTGAAATAGTTGTAATGAATAATGAGTGAGAGAGAACAGACCGGTGAGAATGACGCGTATAGAATGTGGAAAGTACAAGAAGTATATAGACAGAGGGATATGCTGTGCTAAAGGAAGAAAAGACTAAGCAGTATTATTGCAAACCTCGAATGAATCATTTGCTCATGCAGCTCTGCCTTCAACACCATGGTGATTAAAAGAGTTAATTTTTCTCACAAGAAGAAACCATTTCCTCCCAGCAAGAGTTAACCCGACTTCCCAGACCGACCTAACTCCTAGGACTGAATCTCAAGGAACCGTTCTCAACAGTGGACATTTCCTCCTCGAATACATGCAGCTGTTTAGTGTATCTGGCCTTTTGGTTCATGATCATCTTTGTCTAACCCCCTTACAGGACAGGCACTGCAGCGCTGGGGCCAGAATATAACTTTCAGCTCTATCTGTGTTCTCATCTACCTTTCTGTTACTAAGCTTCAAAGAGAGGTCTAATTTAAGACCTACGGTGTGTTCAAACCTGTAGTTCCAGATAAGGATTCTCCCTCTTACATAATGCATTTTAAAATGAGAGCAAAAAGCCCACATCAGTGTTGGATTTCTACTGTTTAGTGTGGAATATTCTTGAAGACTTAAAATTGAAGAAGGAGCCCAGGGTTTGTGAGCTACGGTAATTAGTGCTGGTGGCAGTAAGGCTTGTAGCAGAGTTGATGAAAAGAAACCATAATTTCTGTTCAACTCCTGAGGGTCTCCTTTCTGAAGGGAGACTTGCTATGTTTCTTTTTAAAGCTTGGATCAAATAACTTAAGCAGACGCTGTGACAATACCATTTGCAGGAAAGGAACCTATGGTATGACTCACTCACCCACTAAAATGACGCCCTATACACCTACTTGTTCCTTGCCTTTACTTTCTGAGTCCTCTGAGTCAAAGCATTTGAAAATCAGTCCGCACGTCAAATCCCCGTGAAAACCTACTTGCAGACCGACATCTTTCCTATTCATCCTTGTCCATTTCACCTTGTTCGGCATAGGCAGAGTTATTAACAATTTACTTATTAACAAGGTCTACATGCCTACATGCAACAACTCATTTTTTCCCTCCAAGTTAACATAGGTAATGTGATATGCTTCATTGCTCCATCATCCCACTCCCTAGAGGCTGAAAGAAGTTTCCTTTACTCTCTGAGTCTTAGAAATCCTCCAGTTCATCCCAACTTTTCTGAGAGCATCTGCCACTGAAGAGGCAAACGTGCAGACCGAGGTCAGCAAACGGTTCTTTGCAGCTTTTACGCTAAGATCCCAAATCACCTGATTTCATTTGCCTTTGAGAGTATTGGGAGAATTGTAAATTGAATGGAGGTGCATTACTTTTAAAGAATTAAATTGGGTACTCATATCATATCCAAATACCCCTGCAAATAATAAATATACTGCCTGCCACGTAGTAGGTTTGCTGAATGAATACTTGAACAAATTGCAGAACTAATGTCTGGGATTATCTGGCTGTACATTATTTCATTCAGAGAGGTTTTATTGAACATTGTGGCAGGCATAGATGCAGTGTGCTGTGCACCATGACCTTGAATCCATCATCCTGCCTCCAGACTGAAGAGTAGTTTGGTCATTTTAGATAGATGGAAATTTATATTGCAGACATACTTCATCTTGCAAAGTATGTCTGATTCTTAAAAAAGTATAAAAATGTCCCTTTATTTTGTGATTCTAGATGCATTTATAAATCAGAGAGAAACTAACTCCTTAAACTTATCTGAGAAAGTAGTTAAATCAACAATCCCATTCACATGAGGAGACTGAAGACCAAACATGTATTTTATCTAAGGTAAAGGGAGCAGTTACAGAATAACCCCCCACCCCTTTTTTTGGGGGTAGTTACAACATAACTACTTTTGCTCTCTCATCTCAATGTTAGACTATCCCTGTGAATCCTTTCCTCTTATTCATACTCTTCTAATTAATCAAACAACTCCGTACATTTGTCATGTATTATTTAGGAGTATTATTGTAACTATAGGTTTTCAACAATTCCATTGGCCTGAAATGGGAATATACCTGTTTTTCCATAAACCTCTGGGAATTCTCTCCCGGAAAAAGTTCTAGATTTTAACCATTATTATTAGGAGTTTTTTTTCCCTTACACATTACTTGATTCTGAACACATTTCACTGTGTCTTTCAGCAGAGGTGAAAACTAATAGGAAACCATAATTTATTGAATGAAAACAGTTCATTTATCTGAGGACAATTAACTAACCCCTTTTTAGTATTCTATTTTTTCCAGTTAATTTATCTCAATTACCTAGCTTCTTTATGAGATAACTTGTTGATACATTTTTTGACCCTGAGTGAAGGCTTATTAAACAGGATTAATATATTAGCATTATTTCTCTTTACCAAATATTTCCACGATATTTTTTCCTATTAATATTAACAAAGAATGACAGAACAGGACATTCACTGCCTGGTATGTATCAGGAACATATCAGTTATGTCATCATATTTAACCCTCGCACTATCACTGTGAAAATTGCTTCTGGAAGCTTTAAAAATTGAAACATGCAAACAGTAGGGACCAGCAAGGTTCAATAGCTTGTCCAATGTCATGTCTTTAAAGAGAGGTAGGGACAAGGTACAAGTCCAAGTTTGACAATAACAAAGCCTATTATGTTTTCAACACAGTGCTCTGACTCACAAGCAAATGAGCCAGATAAGAGCCTCTCTGGAGATGAGATTTGGAGTCTGGAAAGGTTAAAAGATACTTAGCAAAGGGCCACTTTCAAGCCCTGGAGAGCCAAGTGCCATTCCTGTGTTCTGGACTTGAGGTCTGCCTTCAGTATGTCCTTACAGCCCAACCCTCTATAGGGAATGATGCTTTCCCATCTGTGCATGGGAGCTTAGCACTCAGGAAAGATTCCAGATTGACATCTGGCAATTTAAAGTTCCCCTAGAGTTATATAGGATGAGAATCTGGCTTATATTTTCTTTTCCCTACATAGCAGCTCATAATGATTCGTCTGTCACTGGCTGTTAAAGTGTTTGGCAGGCCTGGTGTGTGCAGGAAGTCAGGGTGACAGAGCCAGGATGCCTCAGTGGTTAAGGATACGAGGAGAGGGACAGAGCACAGTCTCTGATTCCAGCTCTTGCTCTGGGCAGTCACTTAACTTCTCTCTGCCCAGCCCTCCCATCTGTAAAATGGAAAGAGAGAATACTGATGAACTTCTCAGAGAAGCTATGAGGCAGAACCCATGCACGATTGACACGTCGTGTTTGGGATATAGAAAGGGTAATGGAAAAGTTGAAAGCCATTTCAGTGTGGGATCATTTGGTAAAAATGTGATTAAAATTTTTACTATTTGGCAATCCTGGTGCAGCAAACCTTTAATACAGCGTTGGCTGTTCTATGTAACCAGCCTTTTAGGAACTACTGAAGCAATCACTGCCCTGTGAAAATTGTGTGGGACGAGAATGGAAATACGTCAAATGAAAAACGTGTCTGAGGTCCTCCATTCCCCAGGCTTCTTGAGGTCATATTCTATGTCTTCTTCATGGTGTGCATGTCCCCTAGTATGTACTTGAGGACCTTGTACCAAGGAAACCATCAGTCATGAGTCAGTGATCATGATATAGTTCAAGGCCAAGAGAAGCCATGAGGAAAGATCCCTAGGACTTGACTTTAATTTTTAGGTAGACTGGCTAAGGCTCTGATTTTCCTTATGTTACTTGGGCCTATTTCTTAAGTGCCAAATTAGTCAGAGCTTCCATATTTCTACTTTCCAGTTTCTCTGGGCTCTCTAGAGATGCTATTTGTTACACAGGTGTACATCCAATACAGACCTACCTCACCTTCGAACTCATCAAACGTGACCATCCATATGCCCATTTAAATCTGAGTGGAGTTCTCTTTTATAGCTTTTTTTCTCCCATCCATGAGACTTGCTGTTGGAAAGATGTGGTTTTTATGTACTTCAGACCCTCTTTTTTGTTTGTTTGTTTTTAAAAGAGAAGTCATAGTAACAAGGGGAAAACATGTAAAGGCTTTTTAAGAAGCCCTGCTATGGCCCAGGAAGGTGTTATGCCAGTACTTTGCTATTGAGGGTGGTGAGGGGTAGGCCACCAGCAAAGATCTGACGTGGAAGCTGTAGACAGTTCCACCCAGGCCTTCAGAATCAGAATCCTCATTCTAACAAGAGCCTCAGGTAATTTGTATGTAGATTAAGAGAAGCAGTGGTCTAGGACCCAGGTTTCAGGATAATTAGAAAAGGTCAAGACTATAGTTAAAGGCCAAGAACACTTGCAGCGAGCAGTTAGTATTGGGTTCCACTATTATTGGGGCATAGTCTCATATAGAAAAAAAATGTCCATTCTCACTCTCCAAGAAATTGTGAGGAGCCAAAGAAGTAATGAGGCCTAATGACTGGGTCTTCCCTCCTCTGCGGTTATGAAGACCATCCCCCGCACCCCTGCGCCAACTCTGTTTCTGCTTCGATACTTGAAACTTTCTCCATCCATACCTGATGCTATTGTTCTCCCTTCCTTCCTGGGTAAATAAGAGGCCAGAGTGTCTCCCTAGCCTTCGATACACTCTTCTGTCTTAGCTGCACCAAACTGACAATTCTCTGAAGAGCTGAGACTAGTTTTCTTTATAAATAACCCTGAGTCCTTTAGACTTGTCATAAGAGGAGGGAGAAAGAAACAATGAAACTCCCTAACTAGCTTACTTTGGCTCCTGGATGCCAAGGCAGATGTTACAAATGGCACGACATGTCTGCTCAGGGCCTCAGTGTGGAAATTACTCAGCAGAGCAGACATGGGCCTTTCTGTTTTACTGCCAGTTATGAGCTTGTGAATAGCACACCACACTGCCCTGATTAGTGGATGCTTTCACTCCCTCCTCATAATCACAGGGACTGGAGCAGAATGATAAGAAGGGATTCCATGATACTGTTGGTGATGTAGGGCCGCCCTCTCTCTTCTCCTCCTTTGTTGTGCTCTTCTTAATGCAGACAACCCTTTGAAGTGTGATTTTTTGGTTTTTACCGACTCACCTGAGCCATCAGAAGCTACACATTTCCCTTATCACTGTCCTGACGGAGGCTTGAAAACACCCATGGGAGAGCTTCAATGTTAGTGCACAGCTGTTGGGTTATACCATTCGCTGCTTGCCTACCAGGAGATGTGGATTCTCCTATTGTACTGCAATGAATAATCACCTTAATTTTTATTAGAGGTTCATCGCCAGACCTTGCCTAACTTTTCTGAAAAGCCTGAGGGAATTTGTCAGTTGATTAAGAGTCCAGTTAGTATTGCTAAGGGATTGCTTCTGGGGAGTTCATCCAAGACTTCAACTCTGTCCTTTTCTCTTGTGAGTATGCAGGCAAGGGCAGATGAGCGAGCAAGAGAGGATGTCTGGGCTGGAGCTCATAGTGTTCAGGTGTGTATGACTCATTTCTTTGGATCCCAGTGGTATACAGTTCTGAGTCTCACCTTCCTTCACTTACTGAAGGGCAAAGAAGGAAAACAAGTGGCAAGTGGCTGCATTTAGGTTCTGATAAGAGGGCACAGATGCTGTTTGGTAATGGAAAATTTACTCAGGCTGTGTACGTATCGAGCTACCTCTTACAACAGTGTCAGACTAAATTTTTACGACACAAGCATCTATGTCACCTTAAACATACCCAGAGCACAAATGTGATCTTTTAATATGTAAATCTTTCTAAAAGCAAAAATCGTACTGGAGTTGTTTACAATGATGAAGACTTACTTTAAACCAGAGAAGATAATTGCTTTCATCTTGAATTGTTAACTCTGATCAATTGGTAGTGGTGCTTGGAGTCCTGTGTTGAGAAGAATATTGAAGCAACCTCAGGGCTCAATGGAAAAGAAACCCATGATAAATTACATAGAAGGGAATGGAAGCATTTGTACTACATGCTTTATACCATTCATACATATTCCACTATAATGTATTACTCTTCGGAAGGAAAAGAAAACCTCCAATAGCTCAGGGAGAGCTAGCTCTGATCAACTCATAGGTGCTTTCCTATGTTAAGATCTAGGATTTACTGGATAAACCAAAGCAGCTTGCCTGGATAAATGCGACCAGTGTGTCCTAACTATACTATACAGTTCAAACAGATTAGGGCATACCTAGTTTTAAGAATACTATGTACTTTTCTTTTTTGTTCTTTTTTTCAATTTCTCTGGATTTGGTGTTACAGGGTTTGGCTTAAAGCTCAGGCTAAAACTGCAGGACTACGGGCCAGATCCTCAACTTCTCTGGGCTTTCGTTTCTTCCTCTGAAGGCTGATAGAAAGAGCACATGAGAAAAGATGTCCATAAAATCATGGTAGGAGTCACGAGAGGCGAATAGTCTCAAAGGACTTACAAAATGGGAAAGGGGGAAAACTAGGCTAGAGTTAGCATGAGTATAACATAGATACTGAATAAATAAGAGTTATATTTGATTCCTACTAGTCTCCTTATAAAATTGAAACACTTTAACATCAAAATACATGGGAAGGCAAACAATTTTACTTGTAGAATGGTATCAAATACTTAAAAATATTATAGGAATTCATGTGTGGGCTAGGTGACTCTAATAATGGGAACAGACACACATAAACATTACTCTCTAATATTTGTAAGTAAACTTGTGACTCTCTGGAGTCACACAGAGCTTGATATGGTATGTCTTTTCTTGCAATGTGTAGTGACATAGCCTCTCCTCTAGTTTGTAGTGAACAGACACATAAATGTGTCTGTATTTTTTACATGGCTGGATGAGTTGGCACCGACTGGGGTAAAGTAAAAGATCATCTGCAAAGCAGATAACTAGGAAAGCCATAGCAACGGATATGGTTAGGTTTACTTGATCAAACTAAGACAAAATGAAAATGATGAGAATTTAAAAATGGGTGTTTATAAAACAGATATTTCCTGCATTAAGGTAGCTAAACCCCAGGGGCGCCTGGGTGGCTCAGTCGGTTAAGCGTCCAGCTTCAGCTCAGGTCATGATCTCATGGTTCATGAGTTTGAGCCCCGCGTCGGGCTCTGTGCTGACAACTCGGAGCCTGAAGCCTGCTTCATATTCTGTGTCTCCCTCTCTCTCTGGCCCTTCCCCTCTCAAGCGCTCTCTCTCTCTCTCTCTCTCTCTCTCTCTCTCTCAAAAATAAATAAACATTAAAAAAAAAAAAAACAGATAACTAAACCCTAGCTATGGTTGGGAGAGGTTGGTAGTGTCTATCCAGGCAACCATAAGCTTGATAACTTTCCATACAGTTTTCCTGCTGATGGATCATCTCAGATGTCCTGGGCTTCAGTCCCTGGCTGATTGATGCCTCTTCCCAATACATGCTTTCCTTATTTCCAGAAAAAGATCTGAAGGACAATTCTTTGCCACTTACCAACTTTGTGGCCTTGGACAAGTATCTTAAACTCCATGTGCCTCACATCCTTCACTCATAAAATGGAGGTAACAATAGTATGTTATATTATGCTCACACTCTGGTGAGGTTTGAATGAAATACACATAAAACTGAAAAAAAAAAAAAACTGAAAATGTTAGCCACTGTATTCATGTTAACATCACCATGAACTTCAACCTAAACACCTTCATTGATGAACACTTGATTGATCTTACACTGATGGTACAAAACCAATCATGGGGAACTTCCAGTTTTTTGTTCTACATGTAAGGAGCTTAAAAGTCCTTCTGACAACAAGAAAGAAGATGAACAGACTGAGATATCCACTTTTCTTGGATCCATAAGAGAGCTCAAGACACAGGCCCAAAGATTGAAGAGGCCGACAGGCGAATACAGGTTTTCATGGAGCAGAGAATCAACACAGAACCTGTAACAGGAAGCAGGGCCGGAGCAGGAACACCTGGAATGTAAGGACAACTTGCTGAAGTTCAGTGTGGATAAGTCAGACTTTAAAACTCCAGGGGCCCCAGTCATTAAGGGGCCTCTACTACTAAGTACCTCTATAGTTTTGTGTTTTACCACTAGAACCTTGACTAGGTTCCCATAGTAAATTTCAGAGGAAAATCCTCTCATGTTTCCAGCAGCAGGAGGGGGAAATGAGCCATTTTGGAGCAGGCGAGGATTGTGTGCTTCTTAACAAGCCCTGCTGTCAAGGGATAGTTAAGTGAGGTCTACCTTGGATCTTGCCCAAGATCACAACTGACCTGGGGGAAGGGAAATACCCAACTCCAGCCAACTCTATCCATCCTGACCCCCCTAAATGGGGAGCGAAAATGAAACTAAGAAACCCTCACGAAATTCGCAGTTCAGAAGACAGTGCAAAAAATTAGCAGCTTTATTAAAGTTCAGCCTATAAATAGACATCTGTTTAAACCCACGATTATGCGGCCAATGAATCTCTGGCAAAGGAGGAATAAATACACAATGGGAAAAAGTTTCCTCAATAAAAAGTATTTGGAAAACTGGACAGCAACATGCAATAGAATGAAACTGGACCACTTTCTTACACCACACATAAAAATAAGCTCAACATAGATTAAAGACCCAAATGTGAGACCTCAATCCACAAAAATCCTTGAAGAGGGGCAGATGGGTGGCTCAGTCAGTTAAGCGTCAGACTTGGGCTGAGGTCATGATCTCACAGCTTGTACATTCAAGCCCTGCATTGGGCTCTGTGCTGACAGCTCAGAGCCTGGAGCCTGCTTTGGATTCTCTCTCTCTCTCTCTCTCTCTCTCTCTCTCTCTGCCCCTCCCCTGCTTGCACTCTGTGTGTGTCTCTCTCTCTCAGGAAATGAATAAACATTAAAAAATTTTAAAAAATTCCTTTAAGAGAGCACAGGCACTAATCAATCTGACATCAGCTGAAGCAACATTTTTCTAGATATGTCTTCTAAGGCAAGGGAAATAAAAGCAAAAATAAACTATTGAGACTACATCAAAATAAAAAGTTTCTGCACCATGAAGAAAACAATCAAGCTACAAGGCAACTACTGAATGGGAGAAGATATTTGCAAATGACATATCCAAAAAACATTAGTATCTAAAATATACAAAGAACTTACACAACTCAATGCTCAAAAAACAAATAATCCAATTAAAAAATGGGCAGAAGACATGAACAGACATTTCTCCAAAGAACACATACAGATGACTGATAGACACATGAAAAAGATGCTCAATATCATGCATCCTCAATGAAATGCAAATCAAAATCATAATTAGATATCACCTCACACCTCTCAAGATGGCTAAAATTAAAAACACAATAAACAAGTGTTGGTGAGGATGTGGAGAAAAAAGGGACCCTTATGCACTGTTGGGGGTGGGAATGCAAATTGGTATAGCCACTGTGGAAAACAGTATGGGGTTTCCTCAAAAAAATAAACATAGGATTACCCTATGGATCCAGGAATTGCACCACTGGGTATTTACCAAAAAAAAAAAAAAAAAAAAAAAAAAAAAAA